TAAAGAGGTGAGTGTAAAATCACTCTCGGTACTTAGAAGGAATTACATTTGAGGTGCCAGATGGTGACTGGGACTAGCATGGCTTCAATTAATATGTAGAGGATAAAGTGCATTTTATGGAGAAATAGTTAAATTCTCCCATTCGCATGTCACATCAGTGAACTAACACCTCAAGCTTTGAAAAATGAGGAAGTACAAAGAGGATGAGAAGAGAAAACACAGATTGAGATGCCACGTTTACAAAAGACACATCCTCCAATACAGGGCATTGCAAACACACAGAGGATCACAACCCTACAAAGACTGCTTAGAACTCAGCAACAAGAAAACAAAACACAGCACACACAGCCAAATGGGCAGCAGATCTGAGTACATGGCATCCCATCAGGCTGTATTGAGAGCTTAAATATGTATATGAAATAGACTGAAATAGACGTCCACTGTCATATATACTGAAGACTTACCCAGACCTGAATAGAAACATAGACTATTCAATATCAAGAATGAACTGATGAGACTGTGGACTTCTGGTATGTTAAGCTTATCAGTGATAACAAAAGTGCTACTTTGGGTGGGATATTGATAACGAGAGGCTGCTGGGTGTTTGAATATAAGGGATATATGGAAACCCTGTATTTTCTACTCAGTTTTTCTGTGAACCTAAAAGTGATTTAAAAAAAAAAAAAGACTGCTAAAAGGAAAAGATTGGGCTGGTGAGATGTCTAAGGAGCTGCTGAGATATCTGAGCAGGTAAAGGAGCTTTCCACCATGGTTGACAACCTGAGTTCAATCTCTTGGATTCTCACGGTGAACTGACTTCTTCAAGTTGACTAATGAAGGCATCCTGCAAGCTGGGGCGTGCATGCGCCCTACTCTGATGGCCACAAAATAAACAAAGAAAGAAAGACCTGAGAAAAGATTAAATCAGAAAGAGAAATGTAAGCTGGGGTGTATAGGTTAATGGTAGATGGAATGCTTGCCTAGCCTATAGAAGCTCTAGATTGGATCCCTAACATGGTCACCTGCTCCCTTCAGGAAAATAAACAAAAAGATGAACACACCAGAAAATGGGTTCAAGAACTGGTTTGTCATCAGGCTGAAAGTTGCCAGGATCTGTGGCTAGAGAGATGGCTCAGCACTTAAGAGCACATAGTGCTCTTGCAAGAGACTCCGGTTTGGTTTTCAGCACCCACATGATGGTTCACAACTGCCTGTAATTCTAATTCCAACATCCTCTTCTGGATGCTGTAGACATCTATACTTACTTGCGCGCACGTGTGCGCGAGCATACCCCCACCCCACACACACACCATTTAAAAATTATGCCATTATAATAGTTCATATCTTTAATCCCAGCACTCAGGAGGCAGAGTCAGGAGGATTTCTGTGAGTTTGAGGCCAGCCTGGTCTGCAAAGAAAGTTCCATGCCAGTCGGTCCTACATAGCGAGCCCGTGTCTCAAATAAAATAACACTTTTCCTCTTTATTTACTTTTATTTTTTGATGAAAGGCTAATATAATCCATCTTGTTTATTGTGATAACAAGTAGGTTGTGTTGAGTGATCGAGTTCATCCTGACATCTGGGCTGTTTCTTTGGTCCCGATTCCAGAATGAGTGTGTTTGTTAGTCTCTTAGCTTCCCCTCCTGCCCACCTGTGACTTAGTTCTGATACAGCAGGAGCTATGATCTTTTTTGAACAGAAATCACAGCCTGAGAGGTTTTGCTGTGGCACCTCTAACTAGCATCTCATCTCACTCCAGATGAAGCATAAAGTTCTACCTGAAGGGTCTGGTGTCTCATGCTTGTTAATCCCAGCACTTGAGAGGCAGACACAGGAAGATCAGGAGTTCAAAGCCAGCATCAGCTCCATAGTGAGATGGAGATCATCTAGGTCTACACAAGAGCCTGACCCAAGAAGAAAGAAAAGAAAAACAACAAAAACAAGAATATTCGATTATAACAGTCCCTACACCATATGATGGTTTCAGTTCAGCTCTCTAGAAACCCCCTCACTGACGATATTTATGGAGCAGTATCCCACCATAGTCTCCCCTTGCCGCCTTCTCACCTGTAATTTTCTTTAAAACACTGATCCCTACCTGATATACTAGAACCCCCTCTAGAAGGTAAACACTATGAGAACAGGAACAATGTACAACTCTTTAAAAGAAACACACACACACACACACACACACACACACACAAACCCTTATGATGTAAATCATATGTCAGAACTCAGAGTTAAAATGTCTTACGCAATGAATTATAGTATATTTACAGTGTTGTGTAGCCGAGGGCACAGTCTAACTTTACAACACTGTCTTTGTCTGCAAGAGAAATCCTGCCAGGAGGCTAGCACAGGACCGTCATGAGGTGAAGGATGGCCTGGGCTACATAGCTAGACAGTTTACACACACACACACACACACACACACATACACACACACACACACATACACACATGCGTGTGCGCGCGCGCGCGCGCGCGCGCGCGCGAGAGAGAGAGAGAGAGAGAGAGAGAGAGAGAGAGAGAGAGAGAGAGAGAGAGAGGAAGACACACCCCTCTTCTTGACTATCATCTCTCACTGTCCGTGTTCTCTCCGGCCTTAGGCAATGCTCATTTTTGTATCTGCTTATATTTACTTATCTTATATCTTGCTTATACTGCTATTTACATATTTACTGTAAATGGAATAATGCAGCATGTGGTCCTTTGTCACCTTCCATTTATTATTATGTTTCAAGGTTCCTCTAAGCTGTGGTATGTATTGGTATTTTATCACATAGTAATATCCCCTAATAGCTTATGCCATACTTTGTTTATTCATCACTTTATAGACCTTGCATTGTTCTCCTTCCTTCTAAGTATTATGAATAATATTGCCATGAACATTTATGTACTAGTCACTATGTGGGTAATTCTTTTCAATTCTCATAGGTAGACACATAGATGTGCAATTTCTGGCTTATATAGTCATCCTACTGTTTATCATTTGAGAAGCCAGAAGATCATTTTCCACAGTGGCTTTAATGATTTATGTTCCTAGTCTGGGATATAGCTAAATGGTAGACTCTTTGTCTACCATATATGAGGCCCTGAGGTAGCTCCCATGATAATGCACACATTTCTTTTTTTTCCCCTAGTAGCAGGTTGAGGGTTCCAGTTTGTCTATATGCCTGACAACAATTTTTAAAATTCTAGCAACCATAGCACCCTGTTGAAATAAAATGATGGTATATTGCTGTGGGCTTGGTTTTCATTTCCCTGCTGAACAAGCATGCAAAACATCTTTTCTCGTGTATTGGCCATTTGTATTTCTTCTCTGGAGAAATATCTATTCTAATCTTCTTGGTTTTAAGTTAGGTCATTTACCTATTTATTATTATTGACTTATAAGAGTTCTTTATGCATTCTCAACATGTCACTTCTCAGATATAGGATTTAATTTTTTTCTCCCATTCTGGGGATCATTTTTACTCTTCTTTCTTTTTGTTTTTGAGGCAGGGTTTCACTGTGTGCTCCTGTTGCTCTAGAACATGGTTTCTAGATCAGACTGCTCTTCAACTCACAGAGAACCACTTGGCTATGCCTCTTGAGACCTGGAATTAGAGGTCTTAACACTTCACATATCATACCTCTGTTGTATTTAAGTTTTGAAAAGTTGATGTTCAATATTATCTATGTTTTCTTTCTCTTTTCTTATCTCTGATATATATTTCACATATATACATATGTATATATATGAAACCATCAACTAATCCAGGATCAGAAAGACTTACACTTATGCTTTCTATGGTTTCATACTTTTGCCTTGCATTTGGCTTTCTTTCTCCATTTTATTTTGTTACAGATTTTGATACAGATGAGCTGTCCCTGTACCCTGGGCTCATCCCACATTCCTGGGCTCAAGTGTTCCTTTCACTGAGGCTTCTGGACTAGTTGGGATTATAGGCACATACCACCCTGGCTAGCTCTCTGGTCAGCTTCAAATAGTTTTTATATATATGTTATGTATTGAGTTAGGATATAGCCTCATTTTTTTTAATGTGCGTATCTAATTGTCCAGTACTCTTTGCTGGACAGACTCTTCTTCCATCACAGAAGAGTTCAGTTGCTATATTGGAAATAATTGGCTGTAGCTATGAGGGTTAGCCCTCTTGAGCACCTCCACCCACAGACCCATGCAAGTCCCATTTTGGCCTTTTGAAAAATACTTATTTATGTGTCTATGTGAGCCTCAGTGCATGTTTGTATGTACCACCTGAGGGCAGGTGCTGGTGGAGGCCTGAAGAGAGCATCAGTTTGTCTGAAACTGGAGTTGACAGAGGCCCAGTGGCGGTGCTGGGATCCGAACCTAGGTACTCTGCCAGAGCCATCCACGCTCTTAACTGCTGAGCCATCTCTCCAGCCTTCCCTTTTGGTTTTGATGACTGAAGCATTGTCAGACTCTTTCCCTCCCTCAGGGCTGGGTTTCCACATCCATGTGACCACATCCACCTTTTTTCACACGTGTGTTGGAGATTCACACTCAAGCCCTCATGCTTGGGCAGCAAGTGCTCTTACACTCGAGCCGTCTCCCCAGTCACCAGATTTCTATTTTATCTGATAGATGGTAAGGAGAACTTTAAGTGAGTACCTACACTACATTTGGTCAACCGTTTCCAGCGGCGTTGGAAGCTCCCCACTCAACACCCCTTAGGAAGGGGTAGGAGATAGTTAAGAGAGTGGGCAAGTGGGTAGACTTCAAGATGACATCCTCTGGGGTCAAGGTTCAACTCTGTTTCCTGGTTCTCTAGGTTGTGTGATCACCTTGAGTGCAGGGATAAGTTTTAGAACTATCTACACATACTGTCTGTAACGTGCCTGGAACAACTACAGTACTCTACTTTTGTCTAAAGCAAAAGAAGAAAAATCCAATAAAACCCTGTAACGAAATGTGTCTTGTCATTACCTAAATGCTCAATTATCTAACTCCATCTTCTTGTTCCGTCTCTTCTAGTCTCATCCTGTGCCCCGTTGAAACCATGTTTCCAGCACAGATGCCAAAGAAAGTTCAGCCCACCTTCTCAAATACTCAATGGTAAACAAAACCTGAAAGAAACTAAGTTTACTTAGTTCACAATATTAGACCGTGTGTCTATCCAATATCTGGCTCTGGTGAGGGTCTCCTTGGCCGCACATCATGGCAGAAGCTCATGTAACCAAGGGATGTATGTGGATAAGAACCCAGTGAGCAGGGATGGTTTGGGTTTTCTCTTTTACAACAACTTCATTCCCAACGAACAACTGGGGTCCCATGAGAAAGACATTAATCCCTTCTAAAGTAACACTTCCGGTACCTAATGATGTCCCACTAGATCCCACATCTTAAAGGTCTTAACACATTGTTATATCACCACACTGGGAACCAATCTTCCTTCTTCCAGTCCATGAACCCTCTGTAAGGGAGCTCCTTGGAGTCAGTACAGCATACACCTAGACACCAACTTGTAGCTGGAGTTTTCTCCAGTCCTGCCTGGCCCACGGTCAGGACAAATCTCTCTCACCCTCCAGTCCCACAGCTGCTCAGACCCAACCAAGTAAACACAGAGACTTATATTGCTTACAAACCATATGGCCATGGCAGGCTTCCTGTTATCTAGTTCTTCTATCTTAAATTAACCCATATCTATTTGTCTGTAAGTTACCACATGGCTCGTGGCTTGCTGGTACCTTACATCTCGCTTTTCATGGCGGCAGCTGGAGGCGTCTCTCTGCCTCAGTCTTCCACTTCCCAGAATTCTCTTCTCTTTTTGTCCCACCTATACTTCCTGCCTGGCTACTGGCTAATCAGTGTTTTATTTATTAACCAATTAGAGCAACAAATTTAACATACAGAACATCCCACAGCACCAAGTTTTCAGCACAAAGGAGATTTATTACCCTGGAGGGACAAGTGGGCAGGGGTGGGGGTAGGGTGGGGAGATGGCGGGGGTGGTGGTGGAGGTGGGGGATGTTGGACAAAGGCACACAGTAGGTGTGTTTCTAACGAGAAAAAGGGAAAGTCTGTGTTAGGATGAGTTGGTAAGTCCTGATTGGACAGATTAACCGGTGTAGCCAAATAATGAATTTTGATTGCTGGATGTTGGTGTTTTGATAGTTGGACCTTGGTGATTAGTCTCAGGAATGAGTCAGTGGCCAACTAAGGGAATGGCCCCTGGGGGCTAGCTTTAGGAATGTAATGGTTTAGCAAGGGAAAAGGAAGGAGAAAGGGTAAAACCTGTGGGTGCCGTGTCTACCCTGCTTCGACTTGTTAGAGAGCCCTTCACCATCTACCGGAACAATATCAGAAGTACTAAATAGGTTACTGTAGAAAAACTGGCAGAATAGTGAGAGTATATGTTCCTTTGAATATGTCTATGTACAAGAAAGAGTTTAAGGAACAATAATTCAGTGGGTCTCAGTCTGATGCCATTTACTTTAAATGAACTGCCACCACCACCAACAATAACAAAAAAATCAGGAGCTTGGGGCTCCAGGGTTAAGTGGTTAAGAACACTTGCTCCTCTTACAAAGGTCCCAGGTTCAATACCCGGCACCCACACGATGGCCTCCATCGGTCTGCAACTCCATTTCTAAGGGATCTGAAATCTTCTTCCGGTCTCCCTGGGCATCAGGCATGTCCATGGTGCACCTACATGCAAGCAGGCAAAGAACACACATACATATAAAATAAATCTTAAGAGAATATCAGCAGCACTTTGCTTTGGCTGCAATTTATAGACCCTGGCGAATCTGCTGACTCAATGAGCTATAGCTGACAGCCAGTACTCAAGGAACATGAAGTGCTAAAAAGTTTGGAGAATTTGATTCTTTTCAGTCCAGTAACCAGAAGCATTTGATCTTTTATTACTGAATATGGTTGCTGTAAAAAGAAATGACATGTCCTAAGCATTCAGGGTTGAGTGACCGCCAATGCTTTCTAGTTTCCCTGCTCAGACAGCTTTAACTTTATGTTGTGTATAATAATATCTTAGCACGTTCAGGCTTTAGAAAGACAACGCGTATTTTTTTTCCCTTGCTGTGTCAAAATGGTCCCTTTAAAGTGCATATTTCAATGAAATGAACTTCTCTTCACATCGTAGCTCTTTTTTATTAACAATTATTTTTTCCAGATTGGTCTTCGGTGTTTACCTAGCTAAAACAAGTCAAGCGAAAGTAGCAGAGAGGGATGTTTCTTATTTGAAAGGATAGAAAATGTGGTTTTCTTCCAAACTCTGATTCCCATTGACAGATGCCCTGAAACCAGATACTGCAGACTCTCCAGAGCACCCTTGGGATCAATGCTCAGCCATGCCCTGGAAACAGTCCCACTGGGCTGGGACAGCAGCTCCATAATTCATCAGGGTGAGTCCACCCCCTCCTGATTAGCATAGTCTGGAGGTTAAACAGGGGTGTCTCCTCCTCCTTCCCTTCATCAGATTACTTCAGGACATTTCCTTAGACTATCACTGAATCAAGGGCACTGAGTTATAAAAACAAAACTTCCTCCAAAGTAAGATATGTTTAGAGAGAAGGTTCCAGGAGGAAAGGCGTCCGTATCAGGACACCATTGCTTTACACTCAGGAAAAATTAGTTCCAGTTTAATTTTCAAATATCTGGGAATCCATTCGCTTGGGAGAAAAGTCACTTTATCAAACATAAACTAACGCTTCCAAAAATACTTCCATTTGCTATATCATGGTTAACTGGGAGTTAGTTAACCATTTAGTTACCAGGGAGGACCAGGAAAATGTGCGTCTTCCATCTCTTGGGCTAGAAAGAGAAAAAGGAAAACAGAGGTGTGTCTGGTGCTGTATTGAGTAAGGCTGAACTGGTCTTAGAGTTCATAGCGGGAAATATTTCCCTAATTTTTAAAATTTTGATGGAAGTGACTCAAAGGAGGAGAGAGGTCACTAGAGAAGTTTAGACTTTGGCTGTTCATCTCCACTCTCAGAGAAACGAATTCCAGCACAGCTGATCTTTCACGAGGAAAGTGGTCCCCTAGTAGGCAACTTGGCAACACGTTTATGTCTTAACTACCGCGTAGATCCAGCAGACTAACTTACATGGTAAGCTTGGGATCTGGAAACAGATTAGGTCGGGCATAGCTCTGCCCATGAGCCTTTGGTATAGAGTGGCTTCTCCTTGCATCTCAGACTTTATTACCCTGGACAGTGTTTAGGAAAAGGAAAATGAAAGCCGATGCCCTAGTCCAGTATACTTGAGAGGGAGATAGAATGGTATTCTTAACAGTGACAGGGGCAATATGACAAGCCTGGCTTTGGAGAAAATTGTGTTGGAAAGGCTTGTGGCTACGAGGTCATTTATCTAGTCTTGGTAGGAAATAAATGGCTTACTTTACATGATCTTTTAAAAATCTCTCCCCAGCACCAGATCAAGATTGATCCCAGAGATGCTGACCTGCCTGGCAAGTGTTCCCCAACTGGGGTATGTTTCTAGCCGCTTAAGAATGAATCTGAAGTCCCGGTTATAAAGCAATGTGATCTCCATCCTTAAATGGGAGTGGAGGGGAAAACCTTTGGGGATAAGATTCTTTCCTTCCATCCTTCTCTAAGTGACTTCATCATTGTTTTGTTGCTGTGATGAAACACCATGACTGAGGCCACTTATAAAAGTAAGCATTCACTTAGGGGGACGCTTACAGTTTCAGAAAGTTAGCCCGGGATCATCATGGCAGGGAGCATGGAGCTGTAGCTGTAGCTGGGAGCAAACGCCCCAAGCTGCAGGCAGGAGGCAGAAGGGAAAGCCAGACACCTCAGAGCTCACTCCCAATGACACCCATCCTCCATCAAGGCCGCGACTCTCAATCCTTCCCAAACAGTCCATCAACTGGGAACAAGACGTTTAACTACATGAGCCCATGGGGGTCATTCTCACCCAGACCACCACACTAACACTACAGAGAGACGGAGAGACACACAGTAGAGTGCATGCCCAGACACATGTGCATATAAAGACTGAACTACTGGAAGAGCCGAAGCTGCCACACTGAATCACTAGATAGCCCATGGAAGAGAAGATTCTGGGCTAACTGCACATCAAAACCACCTACCTTCAGGGCTCCTCAACTGAATACGGTAGAATAAACCCTTGAATTTACTTTTAATTTTTCCGTCACCAGATTTTTGATTTTCTTTTTTTTTGGCCTTCCAACTACCCATTTTTCTCCAGTGATGAATACTAAGACAGTTTTAAATCTATAAGGGTCAGAGTCAATCCCTGCATTTGGGCAAGGAACCATCTCCTTACTTGGCATTTCAAGTGAGCCAAGTGAAGCCCTGACTCACTTGGAAGTGTCTTGGGAGTTGCACAAATGTACGCAAGGCATCTCTAATTCATCTTTGGCATCTCTGCCATCTATTTAGATGCCTCACACACACAGAGTCTGTCTTAGCCCGCGTAGCCCTCCCACGGCACTAGGAATGTGCCACAGTGCTTGGGTTCAGCACCCAGGCTTAGTGGAAGTACAAATTTGATGCAGTTCGACTTTCCTAACCTCCAGTTTACAGTCGAACGCTGCCTTTTTAATGCTGACAAGGAAATCAGATTGGACGACCCTGGGCATACAGCTTCACAACGTGTGTAATCCTGGCTTTGCGGCTGAGGGAAGTCGATGAGAGGAGCATTGATCGCCTTGCAAACACAGCTTAAAAACTCTCTGCCAGGGATTTGGGTATTCAAGTCACTTGGTGCTATGACAGGTTTTCAAACCTGGCTCTTACGGAGGGAGCAGCAGCTTTCTAGATTCACCTTAGCTCTGCTTACATACGCATACAAACCGTGTCTTCTAGATGGAAAAAGCACTCTGTGCCTCCACAGCTCCGCCCGTGTGTTTGCTCAAGGCTGAGTGAAATGGCCTGCATGTCAATGACACGGCGCTGTGTCACCGGGTGAAGAAAGCCCTGCAGAAGGGTGGGAGTATGAGTCACTTCAGGAAAATATTGCCCTCAGCTAGATGGTTTTGATGCTCATCAGAGCTCTTTGGGGCAATTTGCTCTCGAGTGTATTCTTTAATCAAGGAAGCAAATGTGATCAAGAAATTACCTGAAAGTCTCACAATACATAAACACGTTAGTGCAGATACACACAAAAATGAAAAATATTACACCGCCAAATATAGTATGTATAAAAATATGTATTGCAATATTTCATGCTTGTTAGTGGAAATATTTTTACAACGTGTCTCCCAAGTGCAGAAAATAAATCAAGCCTTTAAAAAGAGACTGCGGATGATTCATTTAGTGCTGTCATAATATGGTGTTTTCTTTAATGAAAATTTATATCATTTTTCCTGGACTCAGTGGAATAAATTTATACTGAAAGGTGGGAGAGAGTGATAAGTTCAGAATGAAACACAGCCAGCACTTGACGATGAACGAGAGTCAGTGAGGAATGGTCTGCTGCCCGTTTTTTTTTTTTTTTTTTTTTTTTCCAAATTTCATATTCCAGCCATCATTAATGAGGTAGAAATAGAACTGACAGCGTTTGGCAGAGATACAGCACTTTCCAATGAGCCTCATGGACACCCCAGCCACACCGAGTCACACCCAGATAGTGGTCTGATGCTGAGGCAAGCTCAGCCATGAGCATCTAACTCCAGTGCTTTAGTGTTTTTCTCTTCGTTGTTTTGTTTTGTTTTGTTTTGTTTTGTTTTGTTTTGTTTTGTTTTGTTTTGTTTTGTTTTTTAATTTGTCTTTTTTTTTTTTTTTGAGATAAGCTTTCTCTGTGTAACAGTCCTGGCTATTCTGAAACTTGCTTTGTAGACCAGACTGGTCTTGTCCTCACAGAGATCTGCCTGCCTCTACCTCCCGAGTGCTGCCAGGAAAGGGGTGTGCAGAGGATTGGGGGTCATGGCTAAGTGATACAGTGTCTGTTCATCAAGCTTGAGGATGTGAGGAAGGATACCCAGAACCCATGTAAAAAGCCAAGGGTGGCAGCAGGCTCCTATAACCCCAGCACTAGTGGGGGGCGGGTAGGTACAAGTAGAAGGATCCCTCAGGTTCCTTGGCTGGTCAGCCTAGCGGATTCTATATGCTTCTAGATCACATGAGAGATCTATGTCGTAGGAAATAAAGGTGGAGGGGCTGAGAGGTGGCCCAGCAGTTAAGAGCATGTACGACTCTTCAAGAGGACCTGGGTTCAATTCTTAGCACCCACATCAGGCAGCTCACAACCACCTGGAACTCTGGCTCCAGGGGAATCTGAGATCTCTGTCTTTTTCAGGTACTCACATGCACATGTGATTGAATACACACACACACACACACACACACACACACACACACACACATACACACACTTAAAAATGATAAAAATAAAATTTAAAAAAAGTGAGAAGCTATTAAGGAAAGACGTAAACATAAGACAACTTTTGTACTCATCTACATGCATACACACACCACACATACACACAGACACACACATTGCACACACCATGGACACACACACACCACACACACAGACACACACACACCACACACATCACACATAGACACACAGCATATCAAACAACAGACAAACACACCGTAACACACACATATATACACAGGCACACACATTTACACACATGCACAAAAGAAAAGAATGCATGCAGATGTAAGAAGCGTTACCAAGTAAGAATGGTCAGAATAGAGTAACTGAGAAAAGAGAGCAAAGGGAAGAGATACACACACACACACACACACACACACACACACACACACACACACACAACAAACACCCACCACACACACACACAGACCACACACACAAAACATACACCTACCATACTCACATACACATACCCCACCCACCACACACACATACCACACACACACACACACACACACACACACACACACACACACACACACACCAATAAATAAACAAGTAAAGTAATAAGAATACACAGTAAAGAAAAACAAAGTAGCCGAAGAACCTATGTTCTGTGTTCCCATCCCTTAACATGGTAAGTATGGGGAGAGGGTGACTTTTTAATGGGTTTGAAGTGAAAAGCAATGTCATAATAGGATGTTTAACTTTACCGAAATCTAACTTGGAACATCAAACAAAATTGTCAGTTATTCAATGCTCTACCAGCCAGGGTCCAATAGAGAGAACAGAGGTACAGAAATTTGAACTTAGAATATTTACTATAAAGAATCATTAATTACAGAAGAAGCAGAACTTACAAGGTGTGGGAAACCTGGGCAGAAGGCTCATGAGTTTAAGACCAGCCTTGGCTATATTATGAGACCCTGTTTTTTTTTTGTTTGTTTGTTTGTTTTTTTAATACACCCTCCAGTCCCCTCCCCTCCTCCCACATCTTTCTTTAAGAATTAGGAATAGCACATATAAAAAAGGCTTGGTATGGCTGGGCGATGGTGGTGCACACCTTTAATCCCAGCACTCGGGAGGCAGAGCCAGGCAGATCTCTGTGAGTTCGAGGCCAGCCTGGGCTACAGAGCAAGATCCATAAAAGGCACAAAGCCACAGAGAAACTCTGTCTCTAAAAACCAAATAATAATAATAATAATAATAATAAATAAATAAAAAAGACTTGGTGTGTGACTTACTAGTCAAGTCCTTGCCTACCACGCATTTGACTCTGGGTTTGATCTCAGCATCATGTTAAATAAGAGAGAGAGAGAGAAAAAAAGGACTAGAAGAGGTCATGCCTGATAGTCACTACTGCTAAGATTAGTTGAGAAACCAAGATTGCTGGAGAAGTCAGAAGTCCCTAAACAACAGAAAAGCTGCCCGCGGAACTTCCTGGGAATCCACACTCTCGGGGCAAGCTGCCTTACTGGGGGTACTGGCATACAAAATCTCCAGAAATGAGTTCTGCGAAGTGGCAGGAGCCTTGCCCTGGAGACTCCGTCATTCTCGGGGCTGGAGAAGCTGCTCTTGCTGTAGTCGATAGAGACTGGAAGTAGCAGGAACTCCCGAGCTGGGACCGGGGGCCCTTCTGCTGTGTCCCCCATGCCTTCTCCTGTCAAAGTTGTTTCCATGTTTGCTGGCAGAGGGACGATATTTAAAGGGCTCAGGTCCATTTTCAGTAAGCAGACAAAAATGCTGAATTCGGAATCGGAAGGCCAGTTCATTAACTGACCCAAATATAGATTTAAAGTCATGATAATTCTTGAGTTGAGCTTTGAATATTTGAGTTATGCTTTGTGTTCATACATGTGTGTACATTCAAGTGTGTGTGTGTGTGTTGGGGTGCATTTTAATTTCTGTAAGATCTTGGTGAGAAACTACTTGGAACAATTTAAACAGCCTCTATGGGAGAAGCACAGAAGGGATTTAAAAAAGTCTAGATGGGCCCGAGATGGTAGTGCACACCTGTAAACCTGCCTTTTGGGGAGGTTGAGGCAAGAGACAATCATGGGCAGCCTGGTTACATAGAGAGTTCCAGTCTCAAATTAGAACCCAAAATAATGACCCATAAAACGTATCTCAAAATACATGATTGTATTCTGGAGATGCAGGGGGGGAAGATACTTGGGGATGGAGAATTCCGCTTATAACCAGTGGCTAATTGCCATTGGCTGCCAGAATGGCTGGGTTCAAATTCCAGGCCAGCCGGTTGCAACGTTCAGCTGTGAAACCCTGTGCAATTGAATTCCCACCTTGAACTTGGCTTTTCTCATCTCCCTCATGAGACCCCTGTGCACATTAAATCACCTAACATGGTAAAACGTTCAGATTACTTTTGCGGCATGTGCTAAGAGCGGAAGATGTGAGCTGATAATGATGGTCTTACAATTGTCGTTTGTACACTTTATTATAAACACATAATTACTACTTCTCGAGTGACACAGTAACTTTCGGTGTAAGGGAAACAGGGCATGCAAAGAGACAATTACCAAATAAAACCAGGTTGTTTTCTCAAGACCTTTACTTGCTGTTCTCGGCCTTGAGGTCTGCAATGCTGGCGTCTGGAATCCTGTGCCCACATGGTACCCTCTCAAAGGCCTTCTTTGGCTCCTCTGTGTAATGTTAGTGCAGTTTTTGTTCTGAGCCCTATGGACTTATCTTTTGTTTTCTTGTCCTAAGACATTCGGGAGCTCTGATTTATCTTCTGATTTGTTCTCTGTCTCCTCCATCATAACAGAAAATGTGTTTCTCACTGCTACTGCTTGAGCTCCTAATATCTCAAAACCTGGCACACAGAAGACAGCGAACTGTAAATATTTGAATGGCTCAAACACGAAGCATTGCAGTGCGCTATGTTGAGGACAGTGTAGGGTGCACAAAAATGTGTTGCCATGTACACAATGTAATATCATAAATAGAAGACCCTGAAATGGAGAGGGGAATATATTCACCCATTTTGGAATAATTATATTTATATCATTCATGGACACATTTGTTGTTGGTGTTTTTTTGGTTTTTGTTTTGTGTTTTTTTAAATCAGTGGAAAGCTTTTTTCTCAGGACATCAGTATCAGTACTTATGTTACTAGACCAATAAGTGGATCTCTAAAAATATTAGCATCTGTGTCTACCAATGGAGAGTTGGAACTCCTTCGGCCATCATTGTGACTCACTGAAAATGGTCTGGAACTGAGCAGTTAATGACCTCTCCTTCCTTTCTTACCCAACCCACTCTGTCGCATAGGATCAGATCCAGGGTAATCACAGGGTTCAAAAGAGGTTAGGGTCAGCTCTGCAGGGCACAGAGAAAGGAGAGAGAAAGCTCAGTGAGCACAAAGGCCATCAAATCTGAATACACATCTCTCTGACTGAATCCACAAAGCATGAGAATTGCGACAGTGATTAGTTTTGGCTGAGGATTGTTCTGTTAGGCCTGTACAGTCAGGCAGGCATTTAAATGGCCAGATCTTGTTTTGCTTGTAGCAGAGAGCAATCAAGTAAAAAATACACATGCACCTTTTCCTCAGGAGTATTTCAGTGCAATTGTTTAAAATCCTAGTTATGAGACGATTTGGAATAGGATGTGCTCGGCTTGTGTAACTTGTTTTTGGTGAGCACCTTTTCTATTGTTGTTTGATGTTCAATCATTATTTAATCACACTGATGGGAATTTCAATTTAAACCCAAGTTCAAGACCACACTTTTCAAACAGAGACTGAGATAATAAGCATAGGCTAATACAGTAAATAAAGCCCCTGCCCCTTAAGAATCAAATTTAAAGAAAGTAACACAAGTTATCTGCGATTAGTACTCCAATCTTGGTCCAAAGAAAC